CCCTTGCAGATACTTCAGGTGGTGGTACAAGAAGACCCGCATAGAGAAGAAATCTGCCTTCATTGACCTTTTGCGAGCTGTTCCTCTGCAGCAGATCTATGGTCAGCCTCCAGTTTGGGCATGGTGGTGCAATGCTCAATGTGCTGGGTGGGCAGAGATTTACATGGGACTGTCAAGTTGCTAGAAGGAGAGAGTGGATCAAGGAGCTTCGGGTGTGCAGGCAATGCTGAGGGGCCCCCAGAGATGCAGGGGGTCTCCTTGAGCCAGATCCCCACCATGAGGAGGAACAGAGGTGCTAATTTCTGGTGTCTTTGCCAGGGTGCCCGCTGGGCGGGATTGGGGGAGGCACCATCACCCGTGGCTGGCGAGGCGAGTTCTGCCGGTGGCAGCTGAACCCTGGGATTTATCACTACGAAACAGTCATTGCCGACCAGGTAGGTGGGGCAGGGTCTGTGAGGGATGCGAGCAGTACTGCACCAGCCTGGGCAGTTGAGCCGTCTGTTCTTGGGCTCATCTCATCCCTCCGTGTGCTCTTCTCCCCAGTTCACAGTGTGCTTGCGGTGCAAGGGACAGACTGTTTACCAGCAGGTCTTGTCTGTGGAGAGACCCAGCACTCTGCAGGGCTGGAACTGGGGCTACTGTGGCCACTACGCCTTCTACCATGCCCTGTACCCCCGTTCATGGATGGTCTACGAGCTCCCAGGGCAGAATGTGGTGCTTACTTGCCGCCAGGTCTCTCCTGTCATCCCCCATGACTATAAGGTAAGGAGGTGATGGGTCCGCACCGGTTGCAGCCTGTCCCATGGGAGCACTGGGCCACTCTGCACTGTGGCAGCATGGCTTTTATGGAGCAGGTTAGCAGGGATGTGGCAGAGCCACCTGCCTGGGAGGGGGAAAGGATTGGCACAGCAGAGACAGGGCTGTACTGTGTGATGCTCAGTGTGTCCTGTGTTGGTAGCAGAGGCCTGGAGCTGGTGATTTTTTGACCCTGAGCATTGCCTGTGTGTCCAGGGATGCTGCAGTAGAGGAGACCCTTGTCCTTCCTGGCCAACTCAGGATTGCCTGAAGACAACAGGCTTGCCACCTTGTTAATGTTCATTCCTAGCCTGGTCTCTTCTGTCCTAAGACCCTGTCCCTAGTGCCAGCTGCCAGGTGGGTAGCAGCGCAATGCTGGAAAGCTTTGCCCCGTGTTGGTGCTGGAAGGGTTATCGCTTTTTCCTTGTGCTTAGCTTTGGCAGCTGCTCCTTTCCCCTCTGACCTGTGCTTTGACTCTTTGTACTGCTTGTCCCTGCCTTTGGTTTTGTCCTGTGACTGTCCCAGCTCCAATCTATGCAGAATAGCACATCTGGAGTTGTGGCCTTACTGCCCGGAGGATCTGGTGGTAGCATTTTGGGAAACCCTCAGCCTGTACTTGTGGCGTGGTTTGTCAGCTTGGTGTTCCTGAGTGTGTTAGCTGGCTTTCACCTGCCATCCCCACGGGAAGAGCTGCTTATTAGCTGGGATTTCCCAACATTTCCAACATGTCTTTGCTCAGCAATACTCCCAGGCAGGAGGAACCCCCACAGCAATGCGGAAGCTCAGGATGGCAGCAAGGGATACCTTGCTGCTCCTGCATGCTGCTTCTGCTCACACCCAGCCTCAGGCAAGGGCGGCAGGCTGCGCTTGCCTGCATGCCTGACACTTCCTCTCCAGTGAAGCATGTGAGCCTGTATCAACCTTTTGAGCAGGTGGGTGGTGAGACACCCGTCTGAGCCTTAAACGCTGCTTTCCGTCTGTAGGGTTTGCTATTGCAGGGCTTGTGATCTGAATTTTTTTATTGCCTGCCCCCCAAATTCCTCTGCTCCTGCTGCTCCTCCCCAGCTTGGCACTGAGACAAAGTTGCTCCTGGTGCTCTTGCTCCCACTGCGTCCTGTGTGATCTCCCCAGCAGCAGGAGAAGGGATGCTCCGACAGCTAACTGTGGAGCACCAACCCTATACACAGCGTTGTCTGTCTCTGCCAGGACTCCAGCCTGCCGGTGGGAGTGTTCATCTGGGAGGTGGAGAATGGGAGGGATGAGGACGTGGACGTCTCCATCATGTTCAGCCTGCAGAATGGCACGGGAACGAAGGAGGACAGGAGTGGAGGGCACTGGAACGAGCCCTTCACCTTCGAGAAGGAGGGCGAGCGGGTTGCTGGAGTCCTGCTGCACCACTGCACAGACGTGAACCCCTTCACCCTTGCCATCTCCGCACGGGAGAAGGTAAAGGGCTGACACTGGTGGTGCGGCTTCTGCTGGGGAAGTTGTACAGCCCTGCTGAATGGGGTGGGTGGCTCCTTCCAGGCAGCTGGTAAAGGACGGATGTGCGATGGGCTGAGGTTGGCACCAATCCTCAGTGGCTGCCTGACTGCTGGAGCAGGAGTGGGGACATGGCTTCCCTGAGGGTGTGCTCTTTGGGGGTGGATGCCAGGAGAGAAGCTATGGGTGAAGCTTGCAGGACAGCAGGTGAGTAAGTTTGGAGTTAGCATTGCTAGGCGGCATGTGGGGCATCAGTGTGGAGTCCCAGAGTTGTGCAGGGGGGTGGGGGCCTGCATCTGCCTCTCAAAAGTACCAGCCCATGATTATGCTCTTCCCTTCCCCAGGCTGGCACGGCAGTCACCCACATCACAGCATTCAATCCCATGGGACTGGGTAGAGAGGTGTGGCAGGACCTCCTGCAAGACGGCAGGTTGGATTCCCCCACTGGTGAGTCCCTCCATCCTCTGTGGGACGGGTGGAGAGGGAGCAGGGGGAATGGGTGGCCATGCTGGTCATGGGGCACAGGGCACCCAAGCAGGGGTGGGTTTCCCTTCTTCGAGCCACGTCGGTGCCATCACAAGAGGCTCTTGGTGATGCTGTGGCTCTTCCCACCCTTAGGCTGCATCCAAATTTCCTATTGTTTGTCATGCTGTCCTCATGGTTCTCCAAAAGCTGTTTGCACCACTTCCGGGCTGTTCTCGGCTATATTAATTGCACATGGCAGTATCTTGTTAGTCTGTGTAGGGTTTCACACTGACCTGAGATTTCTGCTGAGTAGCCAGGGTGATGCCCAGGCACCTTCCCTGAGTTGCCATTGCCAGGTCTGCAAGCTGGGTCCCATCAGGTTTGCTCTAGCGAGTGTTTAGCAGTCCTTGGGGTTTGGTGCTGCCGTTGCTTGCAATCCTCTTGTTACTCCATTGGTTCTGTGAAGGTCTCTGGTATTCACTTGATACTTCTGCACCATCCTCAGTTGTCTGCTTGCTCCCTTGGCAGAAGCCTTCAAGCATACTGGCATCTCCCAGCCCTTGCTGCTAACCTCTTATTGTGATAAAAGATGATTGTTTGCCTTAATGTCTCTGCCAGCCTTTGAATAAGAACGATGCTGACAAGCGAGTCATGCTGGCACTGGGCCTTTGCAAGATTTCTTGAAGATTGAATTACGTAAATAAAGCATTTACATAAATATTTCTGGAAAGTTATGTTTCCTGCCAAGATGCACTCAGAGTTCTACAGGCTATTGGGATGTGGTTTTCCTTCATGCATGCCAGGCATTATCATAGTCAAGATCTGTGCTTCTGTTAAAATTATTGCTTTGATGAGTTTACCTGGTATACATGTCAGAACCAGCATATAATTATCCAGCTGCCTACGGGCACAGTTCAAGCACCCTGCAAAAAGCTGGAAATGATGACTGTCACTAGAAAGTCTCAGTGTCTCTGAGTGCATCGCAGTTACAAAGTCATGGGATGCTCTGTCCCTTCCACTCGTGCCTGGTGGCTTTTCTTGCCTGATTTCTTCCTCTGCTTTGATGACTTACTTTTTAACACCTCTGCCCGTGTTGCAAAAAGCAGTTACTCACGTGCAGTAATGTCATCCCTTAAAACCCTAGGAACGTACCCTCCAGGTAGCAAGGGGGCTGGGGCATGCCCAATTAGTCTCATCCCCCTCAAAGTGGGTGGAAGCATCAGTGCCCCCCACTATAGGGCATCCTTGGTCACTTGTGAAGACCTTTCTTTTTTTTTTTTTTTTCTTTTTTTTCTCCCCCTGGCAGGTCAAAGCAGCTCGACAGAGAAGGGGGAAGTGACAGCAGCAGCGGTGTGTGCCACCTGCAGGGTGCCTGCCCAGGGGCACGGGATGCTGGAGCTGGCCCTGGCTTGGGACATGCCCCGTGTTCACTTTGGGTCCAAGGAGAAGCTGCACCTCAGGTAGATGGGTGGTCTCCAGTGGGGCTTGGCTCGTGTCCCCAAAGCCCCCTTCTCCCTGTCTCCTGGCTTGAATACAGCCTGGGGAGCCGTGTGCTACCCACTCCCTGTGGCTGTGGCCCTGCCAGCTCACAGAGGAGACCCACTCCCCATCCCCTGCTCCTCAGTGCCCCTGCACTAGCAGTCATGTTGTTCTGATGTTTGCTGTAGTCCAGCTCCTCTCCTGTGGCCGGGTGGGCTTCCCAGCCTGAGCCCGTGGCATACTCACCAAACCCCTGCTTGGCAGGCGGTACACACGGTTTTTTGGCAGCAGAGGCGATGCCGCTCCTGCCCTGTCGCACCATGCCCTGACACACTATGAGGAGTGGGAGAGGAAGATTGAAGCATGGCAGAAACCCGTCCTAGAGAACAGGTAGGGTAGATGGGAACACCTTCCCAGTGGCCTCCTGGGGCTGGTCAGAGCAGGAACATCACCACCTTGGACGCTGTGGTTGAGTTTCACTCTTGCCCACAGCCAGCTGCCTTCCTGGTACAAGTCGGCCCTCTTCAATGAGCTGTACTTTATGACAGACGGGGGGACCATCTGGCTGGAGGTGCCTCCAGACTGCTGTGCCGAGGACCTGCAGGGGCCGGCGGGGGCTGGCCTCTCCCACCTCCTCCCTGTCCTGCGGGAGTACGGAAGGTTTGCTTATTTGGAAGGTAACTTGCAGGGACGTGATGGATGGTTCCCAACTCAACCCTTCCCCGTTGCTGTCACCAGGTGGTTTTAACCTGCCGTGGGGATGCTTTTCACACTCTTATAGGCAGGGAGCAGTGCTGTTCCCAGCAACACCCCTTGCGGAACCAAGCCATGTAGGATATGTCACAAGATCTTCTCCAGACCCCTGGGTGCTATGCATAGAGAGCAAAACTCACTTCTAACAGGAGCCCCGACCTGTGCTGGGAATTGGCCACCCTCCTGGGCTGTGTGGGAGGGAGGACCTGCCCCTCCTTACCCTTCCCTGTGGCAAGTCTCCCATCCCTCACTGCCTCCCCTGTCCTTCCAGGCCAAGAGTACCGGATGTACAATACCTATGATGTCCACTTCTACGCCTCCTTTGCTCTCGTCATGCTGTGGCCCAAGCTGCAGATTAGCCTGCAGTATGACATTGGTGAGTGGCCCAGGAGACCGTGTTGTCTTCACCTAGGGAAGACATGGAGGATTTGGGACAGCATCTGCCATAGAAATCTGTGACGTAGAGCCAGCATCCCCCTCCAGTTCCTCTACTGGGTCCAGGACTTGCAAACCCCCAGTGTAGCTGCCTTTCAGCATCTCTCTGCCCAGCACTGGAGTGCCTTCTTGCTGCACTGGGGATGCACAGCTGGCTCTGCATGCCCTGAGGGAGTCCCTGGTGTCACACTACGAGTAAGGATGTGACATTTGCCTGTCAGAGCCCTCCTGGGGAGTGTCACTGACACAGTTCCGCAAAGCTGCAAA